ACGTATGGGATCGTAAAAGAGATTCATTTGACGTACAACATCCTTTCTTTGTGAGTGTATTCATAGGAGGTAAACGAGTAGATAAATTCGACAAGTCCAATTTGGTATCATAGCGGGCACCTAGCAATTGTACGAAACCGAATTCAAGCTTGTTATCCACGTATGCAGTTGTTTAACACAGCAGAGTTCGACGTGTACTCTCTCAAGTTCATACCAATCTCTGCAATCATGGTCTTCGACTCGAGCAGATATTAGTAGAACAACATAAACAACAACAAAGAACAGATATCTCTCGAAGGAATTGGCTTGTATGCTTGTGGTCCAATCTCTTCACTCCGTTGCCTTGCGGCAACCTCTTTCTTCCAATGAGCTGCGAGATTTTCGAATGCCTGCATGACTTGCATCTAATTCGAAAGCACAACAGATTTGACTATATCGTATGGAAACTTGCTCAGAGTATTTTCAGACACATTGAACCGCAAGCCGTCCGCACAGCACAGCCAGAAAAAAAAATCATTTGACCAAATGAAGTTTGTATCTGATCGGAGACGTTTGGAACAATTGTCTCAGAAAGTGCTTGCAGGCTTCAAGTTGACCAGTTTATGCAGTAGTTGTGATCTAATTATATGATGATTGTAGTGTTTTTCCTTCAGCGTTTAGATTATCCACAGGTAGTTTTGTGGTTCGAGCGCGAACCTTATTATCGAATCTTAAGCTCTCCCCTTGGACTTTCCTTCAGAAGAATCCTCTCCTTAATGCCCACTTCCTGACTATTGTGGGCAAGATCCTCAAAAATTGTCCTGATTTCTGAAAACCCTTCTGCATTGTCGTAAAATTTAAACAAGGTTGCTTGGGAAGGTTTATTGATCGATGGGACACTATTTGAATCCCGGCTGTTTCGACAGCTATGAGCTTGACTTGGCTTGTGAGTAATTGGACCCACTATTCTAAATTAATTTGATCTGGATGGGGATTTGCTCTTAATCGAGTTGACGATCTAGACCTTCCGATGGAATTCTATGTAGAAGGGATGGGATGTATGGAGAATGTAGCCATGTTTTAAGCTCATTCTATCTCATGAACACTTTGATTCTTCGAGCTTTGCGGTTCGCACAAAGGTATGGTCGGCTGTACTAGCCAGTTTTTTGTGTAACTGTGACTCATTCCCGATTTGTTCCATTTCTGCCATTAGACCCTATTTGTCGATTTATTTTTGCAGTTTTCACACACGTCTCTTTCTCTGGAAATTAGATTTCTGTGGGTACAAAAACTGCAGAATTCGCCTCCAAGTATTTAGCACGTGAGTATAAATTCCCTTGCAAGGAATGAGTCAATTAAGAATCTCGGTCTCTGAAACGACCCTAAGAATGTGTTTGTGAGAGAGCTGTCTTTGTTTCAGACCCCGAAAATTTTAGTCCTCTACGCGGGAAGGGTGCCTGTTAGGCCCATGCATCAGATAAGCAGGATAGGCTTTTGCACATGTAACAAGAACGGTTCCTCAACGAAATATTTAGAGAGAAGCAAGAGAGAGGACTGGGACAATGTTCCTACTATATATAAATCGCTAAGTCTGTGTGCGCGTGTTTGCGTGTGTGTTTTTGTGTGTTTGTGTGTATGTGTGTGTGGTGTGTGTGTGTGACTGAAATTCATAACTCTAGTTCCCGCGGACATAGAGCGTTCAAATTTGGTAGGAGTCCAGGCGACAAGAGGGAAACATTCCTGGCAGGTAGCACAGCCAGACCCCGCCTATAGGAGCGGAGCTTGTGCAATATAGATTTTCGACCAGAATTCATAACTCCTGTCTTCCTGGACCTATAGCGTTCAAGTTTGGATGGGAAGGGCATGACAGGTGACAGGATGGAAACACTGACGTTATGTGATAGGAAGTGAAAACAATTGATAGGGGCTGATTACGACTGAAGGAGAGAGCTACAGGTCTATAACGCCCTTAAGTAGTGCAGCCTAAGCACTTTAGTAGGCAGTGTGGGATACAAAGGAATCCTAAATGATTGGTGGTAATCACTGGTAACATCTGATAAGGACTGATGGCGAGCCATAGAAGTCTATAGACCACTAGCTTACGAAGCCCTCCGTAATAACAGTGGAGGTTTAGCACTTTAGTACGTGGTGGGGATGCGAAGGGAACGTAGATCACAAGAAGCGATAACAACTGATAGACAGATAACGAGCCAAAGGAGGATCGGTGTGTGAAGCCTTTCGTATTGAGGGTGGAACCTCGGTATTTTGATAATTGATGGGGGATGTGACGTAGATCGTAGCCACTCGGTTACAGGAGCTGGTAACAATTGATAAGAGATAGTTGTTGGGAGAGCACGAGCCACCTGCCAATCATAAGCTCAAGGCCTTCGGGATTTACGATGTAGCTTTGCCTATTCAGTATGTTTGATTCGATAGTACAGGCTGATAGAGCAGGGTGATAAAAGTGGTAGCTAAGTGTAGTGATAGGGACCGACTAGAGGCACGACGACTAATAGGTGAGAATTTTGTTCATTTCTGGCTGTTAGATCACGGCCACCACCCAGCAAGGTTTGTAACTTAATGAAGGATCCTCGTTGGTCGATGTCATTTGCGACAACCCTTTCCGACCGCCAGTAATCTGGGATTCTCAACTAATGATATATCTGTGAAGAAAATAAGGAGTATTGACAACGATATATGATAATGGTGTTATCAAACTAGAAACACTTAAGAGTACCGCCGAAGGCTTTGGTTGCCTGGCAGTTTAACCTTCAATGGGTAATTGATTCCAGGAAAATGAGCAAAAGATCGAGACATCCAATTGAATGGGTAAGCACCGACTTACACTGAATACCATTTGCACTACACTCCTAGTCCTGTGTCAAAATTCATGACACTTGAACTTTCATCACATCACGACCACCCTGAACCTGTCAGTTTTTCTTTTCGTGCCTCCACCACACTCCTCCAACCTTCAACACTATGGGAACGGCAACGTATAAAGTAGTGTCGGTTAGGGAAGCCGTTTAACCAACAGCTATGAGCGCAAACTTTCGACGCGAATTTCAAGATTACGTGTTATTCTGCACTGCTTAATCTTCTATTACCTTTTTAGTGATTTATTCACACGGAAGATAAAGGAATAATCAAACAGAACACCTGGCAGATCGTCTTCGAAACAATTGTAGATGTACATGAGGTCCAACAAACAGTTGTGTCCAATGAGCGGTGGTTTCCAAACCGACAAATGTTGGAATATTTGAGATACTCCGCTAATCTCTGCGAGTATGCTGAAACCAAAAAGAAATATGAGTTAAGCTTACGATGTTTCTCCGTGTAAGCTTTTTTTGATAATTTCATTTGGGCGAAATAGAATGTTCAAAAGGTACCGAACGATAAAGCATTACATAACCTGACGCATCTTTAAACAAACTCCATACGTCACGCTGAAGCTGCAGTTGAACAAAAAAGTCATTATGACGTTTACACCTACTCGTCTAATACTTGTTCTCGATTCGACATTGCAGTACGGCCAAACATAAGCGGCTGCTTGCCCACATACAACTAAATAAGGAGTGCAATTTGCTTTTTCTTTATAAAGGCGTAAAACTCCTCACCAAAAATTCTACGGATTCAGTTCTAATGTGATTCTCTAATTTTTAAGGTGCTGGGTGCACCTTTCCATTCATCGTCTGCTAGAATTGATCATCTTGCTATCCATAAACCATTAATTGTGTGTGTGCGTATTTGTGTCTGTATTTGTGTTACATTGTGTTGTGTGTTTCTGTGTGTTTATTGAGTGCGTAGGTGTTGTGGTATATTTTTGTGTTTGCTTTTGAACGCTGCCATGTTGAAGAAAATACAGAATGAGGAAAGCCACTGAACTCACGAAACTCGAGTTGGACTTCGCCAGGGGGGAAGAGGCGGAGGCATAATAGGATCGTTACCAGAGTAAAACGCGCTTTCAAGTTGTAGAAGTAGAAAACGAAACTAGCCATTTGAGAACTATGACTCGTGTTGTACCTCGCCCAGGGAGATGCAGGGAAGTGAGCGTTACCCGAATAAAAATGCAAAATGAAAAGTCAAATTTGAATGAGAAATTGAATTTGAGCTAGAACTAGCGAAGATTGAGAAAACAATTTTCTTTAGTAGCCAAAGTGGGCATTGAAGTAGTCGGGCTTGATTCAAAAGTCTACAGCCAGGTTCAGAAATTTTCCAAAGCCCGTGAAAAAATGGTAACAAAAAAAGGTCCTAATAGATGGGTAGTGTCAAGATCAAAGGCAGTAGATGGAGATTTCGTGAAATATGCAACCCACAGCGAATATGTAATGCCTGCACAGCCTGGCTGGAAATCTACCTCTAAAATGTTGTGTTCGGGAAACATGGTTCGATCATTTGTTTTGGAAAGGAGAATGAAAATTCAACCGTGTATTCCGACTTAGTAACGACAAAGAAGAAAACTGAACATCGGCCATGCGACTCAACTGTTAGTGTATGAGAAATACAATGGTATCAGTCTGACACTCCCATTAGTATTGTTTTATCGGCACCACGAAGGAAAAACATGGGCTCTTTACTGAAGAGAAAACAGTGCTCATAGGCCTTTCACCTGCACCACATCTCACCTTGCTAATTTGCTCGAGCGTTCTCCATTCGTCCATGTCTGTCAGTGTGGGGTCGATGAACCGTACTCTTTCGACAGCCGAGGGGTATAGCAACCCTTTCGTTCGAAGCTTTTATGAAAAACTCTGCCCATCACATACTTCCCGCACAAATCTTCATTTAGTCCATGCTCGACTTTCTTTCAATCTTATCATAATTACACTTAAGTCAGAATGTTTTTTCTTCCAAACCTTCCAAGTTTGTGTGACTTTATTAGGTAACGTTTCGGCACCTTCGCCTTCGTCAGAGCCTAAATGGTCTAGAGCACTCGTGGCCCGCTCGCTCACACGACTTAAGAAACTTTAAGAATACTCAACTAGAATAGCAAACTCTCAATGGTATTGATCGAAGAGGCAAACACTGCTTATCTTGGAGTCCGCCGCTAAGGCAGAACGACCACCTCGCACTATCTATTGGATTACCCCAAATTAGTCTTCACAGTTCACCATAGTTTTAGGTAATCCAGATTATGATGAAAAATGGAAGATAAGATGGAAAATAGTGCGATGAATTCCAAGAAACTGCGTGGATCGATGTGTACAAAGTGAAAAAATGCATTGAAAAATCATTAAAAAGGGGGATGGACAGGAATGAGACCATAAAAATGAAAAATGGGGCGTTTGGACGAGCTATATAATATGTAGCTATATGTAATGTGTGTCATTGCGTAGGTAAGAGCCTTTGTGTGAAAAGCTGACTACGGTAAGCGAAAATACATTCACTCATAGGCGTAAATTAACAAAAAACCCTAGTAACAGCAAAAATAGCCCACCTTTCTTAGCCACTTGTAGAAAATTAATTAAGGGATCGCAGCAGCAAAAAAGAAAAACAGAAAACAAAGGAATAGCAGAAAAACATCTTGCCTCATCACCCAGCGATCATCTGATTGTGTGTGGGTCTTAGAGCGCATATTACAATATGTATCGCCTCGATACTCGACTGACGTGACATCGATCGAGGGGCGGGGAGTCCGGGCGATCCTGTAACAGGGCTCCCACTATGCCCTGGCTGTTGAATGTTGGGACCCGACAGCGTCCTTCCTGTTACCCTTGGGGACCACTGGGTATTCCTTGGGAGAGAACTCAGAAATCACTTTATTATCGTGAACTGTGCCTTTAAGGAATCTCTTACAATTATGTGCTTGAAAAAAATCAATTGAGTGCGTGGAGCACGAATCGCTTTACCGATATCCACTGTTTCTAGTGAATCCTTACCAACGTTCTTTCACAGTCAAGTTGAAACTCAAGGTAGGGATATTCTTCATGTAAAGAATACAGCATTACTGCCTCTTCCAGTGGGCTTACCGGTCGGTCCCAAACGGCATCACTAAAAACGCTTACCTACTTGAGATACACACATACTTTACTGAATATATTTACCCTTGATCAAAATCCTCGACCTCTCCATGATACAGATTAATAATAAGTGGCCGCCTCAGTTGTGTTTCGGTGCTACTAATAGATGAATGACAATCAGGAACGTCCCGCTCCTCAATCTATAACAGAAAAAAAGCATGAGATTCTAGACAAAGTTATCCATTTCTACACACTTTCTTACTTCAAGCAGAATACGCATCTTAATCAAGCGCATTCGATCTTCAAAATCAGTACCGAGTAATCTGAACATGAAGCGAAGGGATGAGATCTGTCAATGAGTAGTACCACAGCATTAACACGTACTCGAGATCGATACTTCCAGAAGTGACTTGGCTTTTGAGATCCGCTAGTTCACGATGATTGCAATAATTTACACCGTATGATACAAACTGAAATTAGTTCGATTCAATTCAAATATTGAAGTTTGCACCAGTAGGAAGCACAATTTCCATTCCATGACGGAGTATCAGCAGCGGAGCATTGGGATTACGCTGGCAGTCAGAATTGCGAAAGTGTCGCATTGCGAAGGGGAATGTTTTGTCTAGATAGAGAAGGTACCTACGGATCTCCTTCACTGTAAACTGTCCCTAGCCGGTTAGTGACGAGGCTATTTAGGGCGTCCCCATGTGGCGGATACTGGAATTAATCGCCTACTAAAAGTCGCCGGCACTTAACCAGATAAGTAGGTGGATTCAGGGGATTCAGGGGATGGACTACTTGATTCTACTGTGCCGGATCTATAACCATTTGTTTCTCGCAGGCGCATCCACGCACACGTGTGTGGAGAGTCTGTGGGTGCAGTTGGTATCCTG